CGAAACACTTGAAAACAGAGCAAAACACCAGGCGCCAGGAGGCGCGCATGGGTACTACTACTACTACTACTACTACTACTACTACTACTACTACTACTACTACTACTACTACTACTACTACTACTTCTACTTCTACTACTACTACTACTACTACTACTGCCGCCGCTGCTACTGCTGTTGGTACTGCTATAAAATATTGCAACTTTTACCAGTGACACGCATGCACTAGCCTGCCCCAGCGCCAGGCGTAGTCACGAAGAGCAGGCCAGCGGCTTTAGGATGGGAGACCCAGAGACTCCAATATCATAATATTTGGGATCCTACTATAATTTAAGGAAAGTTCCGTAGTTAAGGGATATTGGGCAGGGTTCCGGGCCGAAAGCTCCTTTTGCAGTCCTTAGGTTGGAGGATCCGTGTTGCAGGTCTAATGCGCATAACAGTCATGAGGACAACAGCTAGACAGATGGAGTTACGGGACTGTAAGATTTACGTTGCGTTCATGCAGTGCGAGTACGTGTATGGCTCGCTCGCTCTCGCATTTGCTCGCGATCTCGCCCCCCTCTCTCTCTCTCTCTAACCTCATGGTTTGGCAGGTTGCACGCAAGGACGAGGACATCGCAGAGCGCGACAAGACTATCCTGCCCCCTTCTTAGCGTGATCCCAAACTCCAAAGCGCTACACCGTCAAGTTGTCAACGACCACGTTAACCGGTGCGAAGCTTCTGCTGCCTCCCATCATCCCGTCGAATATGCATGTGCTACGAAGAAGATTGTTGTTTCTGCTTTGTAGTTTTCCATGCTACTTCCAAGTTCCGGCCCTTGTTTTCCTGCTTACCCAGTACAAGTTAATGCTCAGGCACTTGCAAGCCACGGCGGAACGGTTTGAGCAGGACATACTGGTGAAGGCACCGCTTTTGATGTTCCCAGCTGCTGTATGCTGCAGTCGGCTCGGCCTGCTCGGAGACATACTTGGTGCGCATCTCTGTGTATAGTCTCGCACGTCTAGATCGGTTGAGAGCAAAGACCGTTCTAGACACTGATAGTACATGATGCTACTCTTGTCACTGTCAGCCAGACGGTCACACTATACCCTACTACATTGTACTCTATTTTGCTTCCCTCCCGGGAGACTGTGCCCTCTCCCTGCAGGATGACTTTTGCCGGAAACGTGACGAGGCTCTGGGTCTCACGCTTCTCTGCCTCACGCATCGCCGGAACCCTGAATAGGTCCAACACCCCCCATAATACACTCCAGTCTAGTGTGACATAATATACAAGTGTAGAAACACACACAATATAGTATAGTTAAATGTAGTATAATGTAGAATCGCATAAAATGGTATACAATAAATGTGATATGACATCTCTACCTTGCCGTTTCTTGGCTTAAGTCCTGCGTTCTGCTGTGCCGACCCCGACTTCTCGCGTCAGCCTTCCGCTCCTCACAACATGGGCTGCACCACCAGCAAGCCTCTGGGCTGAAGCAGTCCTGGGTTCTTGTTAGGGGTGGGGGGTGTAGTTTAAGTTGCCATAGTAAGGAAGCCATCTCATGTATCATAGAGCCGTAAATGTGGGATTTCATGTAAGTTACCATACTAATGAGGAATTTGCTGTGGATCCCTATATATGGTAGCTTAAGTAGGTTCTAAATTTCTTAGGGAATTCATTTAAGTTACCATAACAATCAGGAAACCATCTTGTTTACTGTCGATACCTGTATATGATAGTATATGATAGCTTAGGGTATAAATTCTTTATCGAGTCTTAAGCCGCCAGAACAGCCTGTTGTCGCGCGTAGTTTTTTCTGCCGGGGCGCAGTGACGTGCCACAGGAACCCTAAACCCTAAAAGCCCAAAACCGAGTGTTTCGATGGTCTCGCTTGGCCAAGGACCGGCACCGCTGTGGCCACCACCGCACCGGTGAAGGACCCAGTTCCTGTCGTGGCCTCCGAGTCCAAGGCGTCGACCGAGGCGGGGGCTCAGTCGAGCTATACATATATATATATATATATATATATATTACCCACAGTGGTTAAGCGAAACGACGCTTGCGAGTGTAGTGCTCCACGGGCCTTTCTCAAATGTTCCTTTTGCGAGTGGTTTTTGGCTCGAGCCTCCCAGCTCGAGCCCCTGCCTCGATGCCAGGGCCGTGGCTCTCAGCCACAGGGGACCCTGAGGCATGGCAAAGCTTTGCGCCCGGCGTGGGCGACTACGTGGAGTTTGTGGCGTATGACGCCGGAAGAGTTAAGCAGGGGACGGTGCTCGCGCGACTAGATGCCATCTCTGAGAAGACGAACCACGGTATGTGGTCGGAAGTTACGCTCCTGGCTGTCAGCGACGAGCACCTGACCTGGTGGCTTACAGATGGTCCCGGCAAGGACGACCACTGGCAGTTCGAACTGCACTTTTGCAAAGGCTCGGAGAGAGCCTGCAAGCAAACAAAGCGAGGACGGAACCTCGACTTTCACACTGACAAGTTCAGAGTGATCCCGATCGGGGACCTCGCCGACAAGAAGATCGAATGGGTGCGGAAGTCAAAGCACCGAAAATACGTGGAGGAGGAGGTCAAAAGAATGGCCGGACCACTCCCCACGGGGAAGGAAGCCTCTGGATCAAAGACAGCCCAAGGGCTGAATTTCGAGGAGGCCAAGGGCCTCCCTCAAGCTGATCAGTCCGCGGAGGACGACGCCTTGAAGGGGCTCTCCAAGTTGGAAGCTGAGCTCGGTACGCCGAGGGGTCGCAAGAAAAAGAAAGAGAAGGGAGATGGCGGAGGACCCCTCAAGAGGGAGACTTCTCAAGAGGAGAAAAGGAAGAAGAAGAAGAAGAGAAGGAAAGAGGAAAATTCCGCCCACGGGCGAGCACAGTCTGCCCCTGGAGGACGCCAATGGTTTGGCACTCCGGTGGAAGGGGACCCAGAGGAGCGCTCCAGCTCCGATTCGACGCCGGGGACCTCCACTTCCGAGAAGAAGAAGAAGAAGAAGAGGAGGAAGGCGGAGGATCGGGACCGGGCTCGGTCTGCGCAGGACCGAGGACCCTTTGGGTCCGGTCACAAGGTGTCGTATGGTGGCGTGGTGCAGGGATCCGACTCTTCCAGTGGCGAGGAGGATTTTCGCGAGGCCCTCCCTTCCAACAATGGAACAAGTATCCAGCTGCAGCTTCAGGAGTACTCGCTGAAGAAGCCGGGGAGACTTGCCGCCAGACTCCTGCAGCGAATGCAGGCAATGGTGGGGAAGGAGGGAGGGCCGAGCGACTTGACACCAACCTCGAACATGACACCGCCAGTCGCGACCAACTGGGTGCTGACCGTCCTGGGGCAGCGGGGCCTGCCGGTGCGCCTCCTACGGGAGATGAGGACCCTCGCGGCGGCGTTGGACCAGATAGCGGCGGGAAGGCCGCACGCAGCCGCGGACACCATCGCCCAGCGTCTGAAGGCCCTCGAGCTCAGCCACAGCGACTCATCGTGGAGCCGAGCTCAATTCATCGAGCTCTTGGAGCCGGAGGGACCGGCAGACGAGCGAGGCCGTTCTCGCCTCCAAAGAATGGGGAGCCGAACTCAGGATGAGGAAGCTCCAAGGGGGCGGGAAAGGACCCGGGAAAGCCGGAGAGAAAGGCGACGGCAAGTCTCCGAAGGGGGACCCGAAGGGAGGCAAGGACCAGGGCGGCAAGAGGAACGGCAAGGGCAAGGAGAAGGCGCCGCAGGAGTAATGGAGACCGCCGTGAAGGAGGAGATCCCTGACTATGGTGGAGACGAGGAAGGGGAAGCGAGTGTATCCTCGAGCGGTGCCACCGAAGAAGCCGACCTTTCTGGGATGCTCCTGGATGGGATCCTTGACTTTGACCTCGGGGAGCTAGGCGAGAGTGACGACGAAGGACTCCCCACGGGGAAGGACGATGCCAACTACTGGTCGAATATGTTCCAGGGCCTCTCAATGAACGAGTGGCGGCAAAAGGTCCGGACGGTCCTCAACAAGAAGCCCCAGATCGCCCAACTCGGGAAGGTGTACATGGAGGCCATCCTGTCCCTCAGGTCCGCTTTGGGAACTTTCGCCAGAGTGCATTGTAACCCGGAAAGGCTGCCTCCGGGCGACGAGCCCACCTCTTCTGGGGACAGGGCGGCACGCCACGGCGACATCCTCCCGATCCATCCTGGGCTGATCCTTCCTTCGCCTCGGGGGGTCACCAAGGATAATGTGCATTGGGTTCGGGCCATCGTGACCGTCCCGAACTACCTTTACTGCGCCGCCTGGGCAAGCCCAGTTTGCGTTCCGATGCCACGGGTGTTGGGCAACGCACAACTGCGGGTGATTGGGAAGATTGCCGCACAAGTTGACCGCCTCCTCGCTCGAGGCGGAACGGTCGGACCGGCCCCTGAGGCTGTGAAAAAGCTTAAGGCAAAGAAGTTCGACTACAACGGCCAGCCCATCGACCATATGCTCGACTTGGAAGCAGACAAGGTGATCAAGGCATGGCCCTCCCCCGGGGTCTGCTGCCGTGGTGAGCCTCGAAGAGTGTCTGCCTCCGGATCTGAAGCAGGCGATCCAAAATCCTGCCGACTACCTCCTCCCGGAGACGGAGCTTCCGGAGCGACACCGAGGGTCGAGGGTCAGGGCGTCGGACCAGGAATGGTTCAAAATTGTCAAGGCCGGTTACGACCGAGGCATGTTCACTGCGGTGAAGGATGAGGACGTCCCTGTGGACCGGCGGGGCTTCCTTATCACAAACGGGGCCGGTGGTGTTGCCAAGAACAAGGTCCAGGATGGAGTGAGGGTGGAGATGCAGCGCTTTATCTCGATTTTGTGCCCGACAAACGAAGCGATGCGCCTCCTTCCGGGGGCCCAGGATTCGCTCCCTTATGTGGGGCAACTCACCGCCATCCTGGCCGAGACTTGTTCAGGATGCCCCCCGCTTGGGCACCATACTTCAGTTTTGCAAAGAAGGTCCGAGGCGATGCCTTGGGACTTTCGCCAAGGATTGAGGTGCGACAGGCCTCACAGTGGTCCCAATGGGCTGGACATCGGCAGTCACCCTCATCCAAGCAGCGATCCGACACATCTCGTATGAGATCGCGAGGGTCCCGTCATTTGGGGACGTGAGCAAGGACAGGCCCCTTCCTTCAGAGGGCCCCCTCACGGTGCTCTATCTCGACAATTTTGATGAGCTGAGGTACCTCAAGAAGGAGATCGCCGAGGCCGAAGCCGGCCAGCCCTCGGAGAACCACTTGAAGTTTATCACCGCGTGCGAAATGCTTGGGCTGCCCAGGAACCTGGGTAAGCAACTGAGCGGAGCCCTTCAGGGTACCCTCCAAGGAGGAGAGATTCTGGGAAAAGAGAATGTGCTACGGCACTCTTATGATAAAACGGTCGAGCTCATGGAGCTCGGTTTGGGGCTCATGTCAATGGAGTTGGTGGATGAGTTCTGCCTCCGCCACTGGTGTGGTAAGGCCGCCTTCGCGGCGGCTTTCAGGCGGCCCCTCTTTGCGGTCCTGCAGGAGGTTTATGCCACAATGGACTGGGCAAAGCAAGGAACCCAGGTTATCCTGCCGGGCCCCGTCCTTGACGAGGTCCTCTGCATGAGCCTTCTCCTCCCCCTGGCCGAGACGGACCTTTCGTCACCGATCTCCTCGGAGATCTCCTGCACTGATGCTTCGCCGACCGGGGGAGGCTGTTCGGTGGCAAAGGCCTTCAAGGAAAAATCGTTGCTGCTGCCCCTTCCTTTGGAGGACCCGGGCACTTGCGCTGGTTGCGACGCGTTGCTCGACCAACCGGCCTGGCGCACGTATCGCTGCCCGAGGAAGTGCGGACTCAGGTGCTGCACCCTTCGGTGCACCCGCAAGCACAACGAAGAGTGCTGCCGCCGGTGGTGGCATGTTCCCAAGTTCGGGGACAGATTCGCTGGGAAGAATTTCCCAATGTCGAAGGCAGCGGGCTTAAAGGGCATTGAGGTCCAGCTCCCCTTGGATTACCAGATCGAGGGCGACCGGTGGGACTTCAAAACGGAGCCGGGCAAGGAGCGACTGGACGATTTGGAGGCCGATGGGGACCTCATGTGGACCCATTGGTCCCCGGATCGCCACACCTTCTCCAAGCAGTGCGGCCAAGGCTTCTGGAACGACCGTTGGGAATGGGAGCGAGGCCTACCTGCTTTGCGCAACAGAGATCACCCAGAAGGTTTCAACAACCTGCGGCGCCCAGACCTAGTGATGGTTCGCCAAGCCAATGCCATGGCGAAGCGGGCTGTGAAAGGTCTCCTTGAAGCCCACCGAAGGGGGCGGTTCGCCTCGCTGGAGCACCCTTGGGCGTCCTACATTTGGAATCTCCCGGAAATGGAGCCCCTCTACGGAGGAGATTGGTTGTGGTCCACTTTCTCCCTGTGCTGCCACGGAGGAGAACGAGAAGAGTGGTTGACGGTTGTTCACAACTCACCGTCGCTACACGCGGTGTTGCACAAGCCTACGTGTGATGGCCACTCCGGGGCCATCTTGGGCTATGACTACATCGACATCGAGAACCAGGATGAGTACCCATGGGCCTTTTGCCTGGTCTTCATGGAAGGAGTGCATGATGAGCTGTGCGCTCGGTACTCGGAGCCCTTTGGCTGCCGGGCAATGACCCTGGAATCGCTCATGCACCACCAGCTCAAAGGAGCGACCAGGGGACTTCAAGACGGAGCCGCCGTGGATTGGGCTGTGACTCAAACGGTGCAGTTCTTGGACACCATGGATGCCGGGAACGAAGCTCAGCACCTGGCCTGGCTCTTGAGGCACACGTACCACACAGGGTGCGATGTGCGACTGACCAACAAAGGCCAGGATGTGGTTGGTATGAGGCCAGCTCCGTACCCTGCCTTTCGCTGGCACTGGAAGGATGTGCTTTCCTACAAATGGAAGCAGCCACAGCACATCAATATCCTCGAGCTCACGGCGTTCCTTGCAGAACTCAGGCGAAGGACCCGTGACCTTACCCAGCACAACCACCGCTTTTTCTGCATCGTCGATTCCCTGGTGACTTTCTATGTCCTGGGGAAGGGCCGAAGCAGCTCGAAAAGACTGAATCGAATATGCCGACGTGTGACTGCGCTGACCCTGGCTTCTGGTGTGTTACCCATCTCCCTGTGGACGATCAGCAAATGGAACTTTTCCGATGGCGCGTCCCGCAGGTTTGAACCGTCCTGACCACCTCCGCTTTTTGGGTATCACACAAAAGACCAGGCGCTCATACGAGCAAGCAGTCAAGGCATTTTTCGTTTATGTACGCGCCCTACGGGGCAGGCTTCCCCGCTCTATGGCTGATTTGGATGATGAGCTGGCAGAATACATTAACCACCTCTACCAAGAGGGCGACAATGTTACGCAAGCAGGCTGGACCGTTAGCGGTCTCAAGCGGTTCCTGCCTCGGTGCAGGCCGCACCTTCAAACCGCCCAGCTGTTCCTTCGGAACTGGCACCGGGTACACTTGCCGCAACGGACCAGTCCTCTCCCGTGGCTGGGAGCAAAGGCCATGGCCGCGGCTGCAGCCCGTATTGGGCGGTTTGATTTGGCGCTGATGGTGCTCATTGGTTTCTCTTTCTTTTTGCGCACCATGGAGCTCCTCAGCCTGCGCAGCGTACACATTCGTCTCTTCCCGCAAGATGGAACGGTGGTCATTGCTATTCTTAACGCTAAAACTGCCAAAGGCCTTCAACAATCCCTTTCACTCCATGAAGAAAGCTTGGTAGCTATTTTGCAATTCTTGATGGACCGGGCACGCCCGAGTGATTATCTCTATTCCTTTTCGGTGGCGACCTTCCGCCACGAATTTGCTTGCTTGGTCAAAGCCGTGGGACTTTCACCCGAAAGCTACCTCCCCTACTGCCTTCGCCGAGGGGGCGCCACGGCTTTCTACCAACGCTTTGGCCTGGGCCGCACTGTCGTGCAAGGCAGGTGGAAAGATGCAACAACTGCGCGCATCTATGTGGACGACGCCCGAGCCACTCTCATTCAGCTTCTTTTGCCCGCCCCCGTCACCGCCCTGCAACAACATCTTGCTTCTTTTTGGCGGGTGGCTTTGCCAGGAGACTAGCCCAATCGGGCGAGTTGGCGATTGGGCGAGTTGGCGTTGCTGCTTCATCCTCACACCGGGCTGAAGTCTGAGGCCATATGTGCTGAGGGTGAACACCTCCTACGGGAGAGACCTCTACGGAGGAGAGGAGGCTTTTGTCTACTAAGGCAATTGCCTTGGTGGTGTACCTTAGTGTCACGCCAACTCTGAGCCTTCCCAGCCTTTCCGGGAAAAAGCTCCGGAACGTGTCTTTGAGAATACCCACAGTGGTTAAGCGAAACGACGCTTGCGAGTGTAGTGCTCCACGGGCCTTTCTCAAATGTTCCTTTTGCGAGTGGTTTTTGGCTCGCCACCTCGTCCCCGCCTCCACCCGGCCATATGTGCTGAGGGTGAACACCTCCTACGGGAGAGACCTCTACGGAGGAGAGGAGGCTTTTGTCTACTAAGGCAATTGCCTTGGTGGTGTACCTTAGTGTCACGCCAACTCTGAGCCTTCCCAGCCTTTCCGGGAAAAAGCTCCGGAACGTGTCTTTGAGAAATATATATATATGTATAATATTATATATATATATATATATATATATATATAGTATAATATCCTGTGTATATGTATATATGTATGTATAGATTTATGATATATGTATATCTGTGTATACATATAGCTTCTAGAGATGTTATATGATATGACATATCTAAGGGTTTCCGTTTAGGGCTTCGGGCGTTTCGGAGGAGAGGTCTCGCTTGTTCTCGCGGCTTGGGCCTCGCGGAAGAGAGGAAGAGCCACCGTCGAGAGTTTTTTTGCTTCGGTATCTTGCACAGATGAGCTCAGGCAGTGTGAACAGCGACCCGGTTGGAGAGCCTGTAATGAAGGAAGCCGAAGAGCTCGCCTTGTGTGAAAACGATATTCAGAAGGGTATGATCCATCATGAAGACGGACTAGCCAGAAACCTAGTGGACGCAGTCCCAGCCGGAAACAGAAGTGAGAACCTAGGATGTCATACGATGTTATAGTCGTTCAACTCCAGGCCCGAGTTTGTGAGCACGAGAACGAGGGTGAATATGCAGATCTAGACGGCGAAAGCCCGAATCAGGTTTGGTGTCAGGGCACGCTCCATATCGTCCTGCTGCCTAAGTTCAGGGTTGGGTTCCTGGGACGATAACCATGCTAACCTTCTTTTTTGCTCGTCTTTTGGCATACCCTAACCCCTGAAATCCTATACCCTAAACCCAGAGCCTCTAAACCCCTAAACCCAGAGCTTCTCCCAAAATCCTAAACTCCAAAACCCCTAAACCCAAAGCTCCTAAACCCTAAACCCCAAAATCCGAAACTCCTTAACCCCTAAACCCAGAGCTTCTACACCTTAAACCCCAAAATCCTAAACTCCTGAACCCCTAAAACCCCATATAAGCCCGTCTTGGGGGCTTCGCCAGGCTCCGGGAGCTGAGGAGCTCGCGGAGGATGTGGCCAGCCAGGCCATTTACTTCTTTTTCGGGATCCAGAAGGCTTCCTTAAAGGGATCTATATGGGTTCCTTAAAGGGATCTATATGGGTTCTATAAAGGGATACCTTTAAAGGGATCCTCTAAGGGTTCCTTTCAGGGATCTATATGGGTTCTATAAAGGGTGGAAGGTGTGGGATTTTTCGAAAATTAGGGGTACCTTATTTTGGGGTCCTTGTAACAAGGATCTCTACTTGAGGTTTCCAAAAATAGGGGATCCCAAATCCCTATTTTCAGGACATTCTTCTTTTTCCTCTTTCCTAGGTGGTATTCGGGAGACCCCTAAAGGGGACCCCTCTAGATCCCCAAGGGGTCCCTCTCTATCCCCAAGGGGTCCCCTAATCCTATCTCTTATTCTATCATCGTGATTACTATGTTTAGTATTGTTGGCAGCAGTTTGTCATTAACTTTCAAGATATTGGAATTCTTAAGCAATCTACTCTTAGTGTGGACTTGTGGTTGTCGTAGTACGGCGCTTGGGCCGATGGAGGTGAAGAAGGCTGCCGAGACCATCGAGACCGAAGTTGCCCAGGTGCCGGGGATTAGGGTTTAGGACCCTAATCCCTCCTCCGTCTGAGAGACATTCCGACCAACACATGGTGGCAGAAGGAAAAGGAGTAAAACAAAACACAGAAGCCGACAGGTGGTTGGTGAGGCAGCGGAGACCATCCAGGTCCAAGCTGGCGCCAAGGCAGTCCACTCGTCGTAATTCGTCGTTGGCATAGTAGTACTCGTATGTGTGGCAGTATTTGTAATTTCTAGTACATGTGCTGCGACAGCAACTTTTAGGATTATTTTTCCATGAAATGAACAACTCGAGGACAGGGAGCAGCGACGGTAGTCTCAATGGTATTGCAGTTAAAACGCTCCCGTTTGGCGAGGGCAGGGTATCCTCTTAGGTTTCTTAATCATGTTCTTATGTGGCAACCAGTGTGGACCATAAGCCACTAGGCTACAGCCACCCCCGCAGATGGCAAACCTTCCCCCCGCCGCACGGCACAGCGCCGGTATCGACCAGCAAGGATTTGAAGATGATCAAATGACAATGCCACGACGGTACGGCATCGAAAGCGACGAGAAGACAACGACGGCACGACGATGGGTATAACTTCAGTTGAATCCGATCTCTAGCGGCGAGAAGGTACCAATTTGGCTCTCTTCGAGGGGGAGTGCACTACTCGTAGTAGTAGTAGTGGTGGTGCTGGTGGAAGTGGTGGTGGTAGTAGTGGTAGTGGTAGGTAGCAGTAGTAGCAGTAGCAGTAGCAGTAGTAGTCGTAGTAGTCGTCGTAGTAGTAGTCGTAGTAGTAGTAGTAGTAGTAGTAGTAGTAGTAGTAGTAGTAGTAGTAGTAGTAGTAGTAGTCGTAGTAGTAGTAGTAGTAGTAGTAGTAGTAGCAGTAGTAGTCGTGGTGGTGGTGGTGGTGGTGGTGTTGGTAGTAACAGGTAGTAGTAGCAGTAGTAGAAGCAGCAGCAGTAGTAGTGTCAGTGGCAGTTGCAATCGCGGTGGTGGTAGCAGTAGGAACTGCTGCTGTGGCTGTTGCTGCTGCTAACGCCGCCGATACCGCTACTGCTGCGACTTGTACTGCTGCTGCCAAGGCAGGGTAAGCAGAATGTCAGTACGTCTTCGACACGAAGTTTGAAGAGAAGAGCAAAGCTTGAATCTGATCCGCTAGACATGTACTTCAAAACCCTGAGCTCTGAGACGCTTGTCGAAGGAGGAGCCCACGATCGAGGGAGCGGGTCTTCCTACGGGCTGCAACTTCTTTGGCGCCTGCGGTGCCTGAGGCGGGCTTTGCCCGGAGGGGTCGTCATTGCTATCAACCGCAGCGGTAACATCCTGCTCAGACGTCCCTTCTGCTTCTTCTTCATTTTGACGTTTGATGTGCGATGGTCAAGCAGGATATAGAATTTAGAGTTTCCTGCTCTGGAGTTTGGGGTTTGGGGTTTGGAGTTTGATGTTTGGGGTTGAGGCTCAGGAGTTGAGGGGAGCGGGGTGGCAAGACGAACAGCGTAGCAGTGGCAATTGAAGTTGAAGAATTTGTCGTCGCCATCAAAACAGAACATGACATCATGACACACACACACACACCAACATGCACACGCATGCATGCATGAATGCATGCCTGCCTGCCTGCCTGCCTGCATGCATGCCCGCGTGCAATCGTATGCATATCGTGTGTACGTGCCCACGTGCTACCGTGCGTTTATGATCCCGGTTCGGCCGGCCCCCCCGTCCCCCCCGCCCCCATGGTTGGTATCCACTCGCCTTCCCTGTGGCGTGGTTCTCCCGTTTGTGTTGTCATCATCATCATCATCATCTTCGTCGTCTTCATCTTCATCATCATCCTGCTCCTTTCTTGGATTTCTTGGGTCAGCTGTCAGGAACGTGATCCTCGCGGCAGTTGCATTTTCAATACCCTCATGTCGGAGTCGTGGTTGGAAAACTGTCACGAGGATAGGGTGTGTTTGGGAGGAGATCCTTGTGAGAGTTGACGGTTCCGCAGCCGCCCTGCGAGAGAAGCACAGTCACACGGATTGGGGGAAGGGTTGGCGAACCGAGAACCGGAATCACACACATATATATATATATGTATATATACATATATATACACGTGCCTAATGCATGCATTCTCCTGTCCTGTCAGGCACCTTGGTGGTCAACACACGGCTCCGGAAGAAGATTGGACGATCCTCCTGACCTCCAGCTGTTGGATGGATAAGCTGTGTACAGCAAGACTCCTGTGCTCGGGGCAGACGTCCTGAGGCAGTTTTTGTTCCAAGTGTTCCCAGGCGAAGAAGTTACCTGGTATAGCCCGATAATTCGTTGCATTCGATTTTGCACAAGTTGCGCAGCCGGGCGCAATCTTTAGCATCTGGGCTCCGCATCAACGATGTTTGCATCGGAGCCCAGCTTTTGCATTGCATGATGCGAAATGACCGCCGTGAAGGGCCTAGACAAATTCTGCGAGAGGTGCCTGCGGTAGTTGCCTAGCATAGACCAATTTCTGTTATCTCTTCAAATGTGTTTGCTGTCCTTGCCTCGCTTCCTTTTCCGCATCTTTGCATTCTTTCTGCCCTCGCCGGATTGTGCTGACCAGAGGCTATGGCTGAGGGTTTCTTTGGACCGCCTTCTTGCAAGAAGCATTTCGGCTTGCTTGCAATTGAAGCCTGCTGAAGCCCCTCGAGCCTTCTCGTGCTGTCTCATCATGGGTTGCAGCAACAGCAAGCCGCCAAGCTCAAACCAGAGTCACAGTTGACGAGTCGTGAGGAGTCTGCCGGCAGGCGAACCGCCCGAATTCAGTTTTGTGCATTCGCACTGAACCTCCCAACCATGCAACACTCGAGCCTAACTAGTTTGAACCCTGGCACATCACCAAGGACCGGCGTCGTTGTGTCCTCGCAGAAGCCTCCCATGCCGGTTGCTGCAGCGGAGTCCAAAGCTTCCACCGAGGCCCGGGTAATAGACACGAATGCAATATTTTAAAGTGCGAACACGCTAAAGCAGCAAGTTGCGCTGTAGGTCGATCAAGTAGCAGTACTGCTACTTATGATACCAACAGTAGTAAGCAGAGTAATATTGACAAGAACTAGCATGCTGCTGTCGATCCTCACTTAACCGAAAGCAGAATAGACAACTACCCTAGCACTGCATGGTTCCCTATAGCGCAGCATATACCCTTGCAAGCTGAGAATGACGAAATCGCCCGACACTGAGATCTTACAGTCGACTCGACATGATTCTCACAGGTATGCCGAAGATGATACCAGTTGCAAGATTAACAGGAACACCAGATTTGTCAGCACAGCCCGAAAGACAGCATCCAGGAGGCAAGAGCCGCAAGGCAACTCGACTAGCATGAGCAGCAAGAGCACCACGAGCACGAGCACATGGGGTCCACGCCTAACACCCGAAGCCTACAAGCCCAAAGCAAATAGTCTTGAAGCTCAAGTCCCAAAGCTCCATTTCCCAGGGATATAGGATTCTGGGTCTTCGAGGTTTCCTTAAACCCTAAGCCCTCAACCCCAGTGTGAAATAAGCCCTAGACTCCGCACCCTTAGCCCCAGAAGCCTTAACCCTCATCCTAAACGCCTCGACGCAAGTCGGATCCTCGGAGGCTCCTACAGCGGAAGACCGAGTCGAAGAGGCCTTCACAGAGGCGACGGTTCGTAGAGAGTCAGTTGAGTTGTTATACCATACAATATAACCCCAAACCCTGTGCTGAAACTAGGGCCGTTGCAAAAAGTGTGAGCAGCTCATCCGGGATTGTGGTTTACAGTTTTATGATGGTTCAAGGTATCTTCAGGTTTAATGTTTGACGGGTGATTTTTCGATGGTAGCCCATTCATGAATATGGGCTGTCTTCACGCTACGGCCACCGTTGTCATGCGCATGCATATGCTGATCACGATGCTGGGGAGAGTCATGTTCCCAGGCCCATAGGCCCTGAAGAGACGTCCGTGGTCATGCTTGCTGCAACGGCTACCGTGCTGGTATACAAATGCCTTGCGCTTGCGGTAGCGGTCGTAGGGCCCGTGACTGTATAGCAGTCATACTTGAAACCGGATCACTAATTCTCTTGTTCGGCAATTATTGATAATTATTGAGGTTGTAATCTCTTTGTGCGGCACACCGGGTAAATTCGATCCAATGGGCAAACCAGGTCCTGCAGCCTGGAGACCAGAGAAGAGAGCACTCCTGATGAAGATAAACATCTTGCAGTTTCAGATACATTGCACGCTTCTTAATTGTGGCGCAAATTTGCATTGGGCTCTGTAGGAAGACCAATCCAGAACCGTATAAGGCCTGGGCTCCCTGGGTTTCTTTCCAGAAAGCCCCCATCGGCCTCAGATCACATGAGGTCACAAATAGCATACCTGGGAGTTTCCGAAAATTAGGGGTACCTTATTTTGGGGTCCTTTTAATAAGGATCCTAGCATTTAGGGTACTTTGTTAGGGTTGTCAAAATTATGGTCCCTTTTTGGGCCCCTAATATAGTACGGCACCTATTATTTAGGGCACCCCCCCGGGACCCCAATTTTGACAACTACTCAGATTTATTCCTGCGTCGAACCAGGTTTCTGTGCCATGCCCAGACGTCAGTCTGCACGTGAGAAGAAGTGAGATTTGCTCATGTGCTCAAGGGCAAATACCTATCTCGTTAAGAGTGTTGATGTTCTGGCAGGAGCATTGAAAAGAAATCCGTGACTGATGCCTTGCGCCTAGAAAGTCGAACAAACAGCAGCTAATGCTGGCCTCTATCTTTAAACATTTGTGGTTTGGAGGAGCTGCTTGATGTAAGCATCCCCAAACGTTGCCAGCGTGAGCCTTGCAGGAAGGCGGCACAGCACCATCATTCGTCGATCCAGAACCTACATCGGCATCCTGAATCATGCCTTCACCACTGCATGCCATGTTATCATGTCATCCAGGTTGCGGTGCTTGTGCGTCTTTTTGATTGCTTTGGGGTGGGGGAGGGAGGGGGTGAAGGTTGTTGTTGTCATTCTCGATGTTGGCATTGCCGTTGCCTTCAATGCTACTGTTCCTGCCTTCTGTTCAGAGTGTTTGCTTTGTTTCTCATTTCACATGTTGCCCGTGATATCAATGCACAGCCCTGCCCTGTCTCTGCTAAGCTTCTGCATTGTGCGTCGGTCCGGTTGAACCCTGTGACAGGCGAGGGACTCGGCGGTCGTGGCTGAAGCCGAGGCAGAAGCTGTGGGACAGGATGAAGACAAGCAGCAACCGTAGCAGTCGCGTAGCAGTCGCAGCAGTATACAGGTGGACGTCGGAGGGGGAAGAGCGAGTGATGGTGGTAGTGCTGCAGCAATAGTTAGCAGCAGTAAGGAGTGAGTGATAACTGCTCTAGTATCAGCAGTCGTCATCATCGTCGTCCTAGGGGTAGTCACCGGTAGTCGTCGTCGCAGGCAGCAAAAGCAGCAGCAGTAGTCGTAGTAGCGTCGTCGTCGTCGTCGTCGTCGCGGTCGTCCTCGTTGTTTTCCCGGAGGCAGCTAGCATCGGAGTATCGCAGCTCAGAAAAAAGTCTGGCATCGCACGGCATCCATAGTTGCGGAGTCCAAAGCCTGGCGCAAGGTTGAGAAGGCGGCCCAGGAAGCCTTGGAAACAGCAGTGGCAGGGGCCAAGGACTTTCGGCCGAACCTGTTCACATCTTCATCTTCATCTTCGCAGCAGAAGTAGTAGGTGTAGCAGCAGGAGTAGTAGCCAGCAGCACTGGTATAGAGATTTGGACAGGCAGGTGACATGGAATGTGCACGGAACCCAGGTGTGTTTGAATCTGATGAGGAATGCACCACGAAGGGCCGTAGTTCTGGCCAGAGCGCTGTTGTGTCGACGGTGAGGCAACCAAAGTTTCGCAATCGTCGCAATGTCGCAAGAATCTTAACTTGGGGACCTGTCTTCTTTGTAACACATCCAGCGACATTCAACGAGCTTCTGCAGCAAAGCCGCGGCGACAGTGCCTTCGCTCGACTTCACTCGGCAGCAAATTCTAGCCACCGTAGTAACATGAGCACCCGTAACAGAGAGCAGAGAAAAGCTGAGCTGCTCTGAGGAGCAGGGCCTGGATTTGGAGATCACGACTGCCGAGCCGACTTCGGGTTGCAACCTCTTTGGCGCCTGTGGCGCTTGAGGGGCGGTCGAGCTTTTGAGGACTTGCATTTAGATTGCAAGTCTTTCAAAGATCGGGTTGGAACTCTGTCCCAGCGGAGCTTGATGGCAGGAATGGATGAGCACAAGATCAGCCCTTGAGCTGGCAGATGCTGGCAGTCCTCCAGCTGGGAGTTTGCCATGCTAGGACGTGTGACGCTTTCACGTACAGTACTGCTCTGGTCTCGGCTGTTGTCCGTGCCACCCGAGCTCTTGTCGCATGTCCCAGGCCAAAATGAGACCTGTTAATTCTGGGTAATTCATGATCAGTTCATGATCGCCATGCTGGCGGTTTTGCAGCGGCTGCACCTGTGCAGCCGCTTCGTCCTCTGTGTTCCCATGCCAACGATGCTTGAAGTGAGTGGGGCGCAGCTTTTGCAGTGCACGACAGCGACTGCAAGTTAAAAATGCCGCAGATCGCCCAGCAGAGGGAGCGTCTGAAACCTTTCCGACCCTGAGCTGTTCCACCTCCGCGAGGCCGCACGGAACCTGGAAGGAAAGCTGCGAAGCGAGCGCAGTGCCTTCGAGGCCGGACCCGAAGCAGAGACGCAAGAACTTCTTTGACTGTGCTCTCGCGAGGCGCAGAGTGCCAAACGTGACCAGGACCGAGCTAGGTTGGAATGGCCTGAGGCCGATAAAGTCGCGCCGGCCACTTCGCCTAGAGTCTAAACTCCATGTGTGTGTGTGTCTGCCAAAGCGAGGGAAGCACGCTCGTCACTAGTCCCGTGCAGCTGCCCCACAGGAGCTCGAGCAGAAGACCCAAGAGGTCCGAGAGCGAGAGAACGAGCTTCGCAAGAAGGACGACTGGACATGTTCCACGCCAGTCTGTCGCCCTGCTTTCGATGCGCAAAAGCAACAGGAGCGGGAGGTGGACTCTCTCCGAGACCAGGCCCTTGTGGGAGCAGCAAGGTGTCATTTTAGCTTGAGTTTTTTCTGAACATCCTCATCTGTGATTCTCTTTGCAGTCAATCCTCGCTGGACTTCAACAAGCTTTGAACGGCCGTAAACTCCTTGAGCCCAATTTGGGGCTGTAGTTGAAACCATTTACATTTACATCCAACTAAAGCATATTTGAGAGGCACCCTGAAGCCTAGAACACACTCGCAACAACCAGCCAGAGATTTTGTCATGGAAGGCTCGCAAGCTTGAGGACCAGGCTCGCCACTGACCGGGAGTTGAAGTCTGGGTCTGCATCAAGAACCTAGTAGTTGAGTGGATGCACTTTACACTTTTTGGGATAATATTTCCCACTAGGGACTTATGAACTCAGCAACTAAGAGAACAACTGCCACTGTGGAGATGACATCTTCTCGCTCACACGACTGCCATGCTGGTACCAAGCGAGACTGCAGATGAACAGGGAACTGCAGTGAGCATTTACGTTGAGAGTCCCTATATCGGTACCGTTGTTGCACCGTCAGTCAACTGTGGCTAGAACTGGGTTCTTGTCAAGGGAGTCAGTTGAAGCTACCATAATAGGGATACATACACAAAATAATCTGCTTTCCTTATTATGGTCACTTAAATTAAATTCCTTGACAGAACCCAGAGAATCCTGAAAGATCACTTGGCTGGGGTAGAAGGAGCTTGCCTGGGCACGTTGTAACATGGGAACTCCAACTCTGTCTCCTGTTCACAAAGCGTATCTGCCATGAATCATTGTCATGAAGCCCTCAAGATACTAGGGGCGGATCCCTGAATCATGCGGGGTATGATTCGGTACCCTAAACCCTAAAACCTAAACGATGTCAGTTTCTATCGAAAAAACGGGCAGAAATCGAAAGAAGCTTTCCTTCAGGTCCGCCAGGAGCGGAGAGCCTCGGAGGCGCCTGCCTCGGAGGGTGTGCTCGTGGGTTTTGAAGTTCAAAAGCCGGCTTTAGGGGTTTAGGGTCTAGGGTTTGGTAGTATAGTGTAGGGTTTGGGATGTTTGGGCTTGAAGTTTCTGGCTGGGCCCCACTGGTTTGGAGTCCTGTGCCTCTCCGTGCCGCTAAGGACCTCCAGTACAAGAATCAGGGCTTGGTTCAGGACCGAGCTGTTCCGCGTGCATTACTGGAACCTTGTGGCGAGAAGCACCTATATGGGAGTTTCCGAAAATAGGGGGCCCTAATATATTAATACAGTGCCCAAGTTTGGCCCAAATAGTAGGATCCTTATTATAGGGACCTCAAAATAAGGTACCCCTCATTTTCGGAAACTCTCATATGATATAGTACCATGATGTAGTGCGCTATAACAGCGGTTTGAGACGACAGGAGCTTCATCTGCGAAATCGCCAGCTCCAGGCACTCCATGTAGCTGCCTGCATGTTCAAGAAGCGGCCGCCTGACTGCGCTGCAACTCCTGCGGATGCAAGAGTGAACTTCCGAAGCAGATGCAAGAGCGAACTTCCGAAGTAGCTGGAGCCAGGAGCAGTCTGAAGAACTGGCGAAGTTCATCCATGAGCTTGACGCTCGAAGCCCAGCCCGGCTAGTGCTCTAGGCTCTCCTGGATTGCTATCTATGTGCACCCCATTGCAAGCCAAGCGGCTGAGGCACAGTCCAGGGGCGACATCCCCAGTGTGATCAAGGAGGTCAGACAGGCCCAAATGGGCAGGGAGTCCGGGATCATCGCTAGCTGACCAGTTTTGAGAGTCCCGCAAAGACTGAGTCTGGCATTACAAGCCCTGAAAAACAGACCGACGAAAAGAGCTCAAAACAATGTTTGGACAATGAGGTCTACTGATTCTCAGCATTTGCCAATGGTCTGGTAGCTATGGAGATGCCCGACCATGGAGATGCTCAGATACGCCTTGGAAGCACCACGTTAAGCGCCGCTTCCATTTTTGGGATGCGGCTATCCTCGTGACGGAGTTATAATTGAATCTGTCACAAACGGTTGAAGAAAGGAGTGAGGCGGTGCAAGGCATGTTGTTGGCACGCAGAAGCAGGAGCCAGTGTTTGCACGGGCAGGAAGGAAGCCATTGGCAATGTGTCTGCGATTGTGGTCCTGCTTAGGTCAGGAGTTGATCAGACTGCTCTGTGTTGTTTTGGACGGGAGGCGCGTGAGGAGGATCCGGAGAACGCCCTGCTGAAGGCGGGATGTGAAATAGTATGTAGATGTATGTGGTATTCTATAGCTTGTTCGTTTGTTTGTGCGTAGGATGTCGGTATGTCGTCTGTCGGTACGCAATGTATGTTTATGTATGTATGTATGCATGTATGTATGTACATAGATATGTAATCATGTATATACACATACAGATTATATAGCGTTCATATATACACAATATGCATCTATAAAAACATAGAGATAGAGTGATGTTTATGTACGTTTTTGTATATATATATATATACACACGCAGAGTAACTATCTATCCTAATCTATCTATCTGTCTGTCAGTATCTATCTATCTGTCTATCTATACCATCTGTGCATATGTATGTAAAAAGGTGCATTGATCGATACCGAAGAGAGTCGGACCGAGACTCGGCATCTGCCTTGGCGGGCTCAGGAGCGGCTTGCGAAGTCCGAGTGCGGGGCTCGGGCTGACTGGAGCATGGGTGTTGGTCGGATAGTGCCACAACTCTGTAACAGTTGAAAAAAAAACATGGTTATATGTAGCCCTGGACATGACCCCTTCTAGAGTGGGCGCAGTTCCCCAGGAATTGGTGTCAGGGTCCCGTAGGGGATGACCTACCCCCTCCAAACGTGGCCTCCGACCAGGGCTGATGTGGAACTTCTGCGGCAGTGGAAAGACCACGAGGGTCACAGATAGCTCGTGACAAGGCCACGCGTGATTGTGGGCTGAGAGATTGTCGAGTAGAGATGTGCTCGGCTGACATGGCAGGTCAAATAGCTCAGGCTTGCCTCAAGGCAAGCGTCATGAGAGGTATGTGATTTTGGCTCTTGTCTCACTTTCGTGTGATCCGGAACAGTGACGGACGTCAGCCAGCATGAACGGATCACCTGTTCCGGAACTGACGGAGAGACGATGTAACAGAGTTTCACCTATGTCTGCGCAAAATTGGCAGAGCAGTGGCAGGGCTGTGTAGGAGCTGTCGACATCTCAAGTTGGCCACGTGCAGCTCCCCTGGCGCCCGACAAGAAGAGAGCCAACCAGCGGCTGGGCGCTGCAATGTGGCATGTCTTGGCATCAACGGGGCTGGGCACCTGGGCACCCCTCCGAGTCTTCTCGACATTGAGCCTCCTTGAACTCGGAATCCAAACTAGCTGCCGTCCATTTCCCCTTGCAAGTCTTGAAGCCCGGAGGGCCGTATAATTCGAGTAATTCGTCTTCACTGGGCTTCTGTACACATTGGCCGCTTCTCGTCGCAAGAGAACTCTGCTGTGCGGGGTGTAAGATTTTATGTATAGATGTAAGCTTTGCGGAGAAGCAGGGCACATGAGCCCTGAATTCGCAGTTGGACGGGGACTTGCTCTGTGTTGCTGCTGCTGGAGCCCGGAGCGGAAGGTGGCAGCAACTTAGGAGCTCCTCCATGCCTTCGCAGCGGGTCGGAGTGCACGCCTGGATAAAGATGCATCCTACTTGCACGGGCCTGTATCGATGACGATCTCGATTGGCGGTCTCGATTGGGGGACGGACCCCCTGCCCATCTCGCCCAGAAGTGATCAGTTTCATGCAGATTTGTGATGATGACCACATGGCTCGACACCTCGTGCGCCTTTCACTAAACACCGGCATGCAGCCCGCTTTTCTTGGTAGGTCGATGAGGCTTTCCGTGTTTTTGTCACCTCTACAAGGTGCCATCCTCGCAGGGCAGAGAAGTCTTTCGGGAGCCTCAGCGAAACTGCACACTCTACACCTTAAACCCAAAATTAAACCCTAAGCCCCCCTAAACCTCTGAAACCCCAGCCCACACCCTCCACACCAAAAATCTTGCAAACCCCAACTCGCAACCAGCAATGGCATCTGTCATGCAGCCCTCCGACGTGGCTCATGACAGAGGTTCGGATCCCAGAGGGGTGGATCAGATTTTGGAAGCCACTCCGAGCTTACCTTTGGTTAGTAGGGAATGGAAGAATGGTAGTGGTAGTGGTAGTAGTATAGTAGTAGTAGTAGTAGTAGTAGTAGTAGTAGTAGTAGTAGTAGTAGTAGTAGTAGCAGTAGTAGTAGTAGTGGTTATAATTGTACCCCGTTCCTCCATTCCCTGCTATTCAAAGGTAAGCGAGGTTTTAGGCTCGGAGGGCTTCATGGCCACAGGATGCGTTCACATTGAAGGAACAAGTCGAAGACTGGCAGGGTCCGTGTAGAAAGGCTGACTTGGCAATCAAGCAGGCGCCTTCTCAAAATCTCATGGTCAGGCTTGGACGGGTTGACTGGGAAGGAAAGTGCTTCGAAACGTTTCAATACAAAGTCCGATCGAAGCTCGTGCTCAAGATCTAATAGGTTCGCATTGGACATGAACCCCGTGAATCGCGATCGGTTATTTTTCAAAGAGGGAGAAATGGCGACTTCGCCGAAGTGAAGAAGGCGTTGGAACGTGCCAATACAAGTTCGAGTTTGGACCAGAACTTTGCAGCAGCCCGAGCCCGTCGCGGGTCCGAGCACTTAGCGAAGATTTGCGTCAAGATGGGAATGGACTTGGGGGAGATCGACATAAGAGCAAAGGAGAGGCACAGAACGACGGACGCTTTACAAAACCGTGAAACATTGAAGCATCAACTCGAGGACCCATCTTTCTCCCTGCGCAACCACTTAAGTTTCACGTGACGGCGCGCGGATGAACGGAAGCTCGATGCGCCGGTGTCGTACGTGTTGAATCCTGCTTTCCGGTAGCATTTGATTGCCGCCTCGGGGATCTCCAATACTGAGAGCCTAACCTTCGAGTGCATGGAGCCCTGTTTCGAGAACGCAATGTCATCGGTCGAGTCGTGGGTGCCAGTGTTTTTCAGGTTGTTTGCTGGATGACATGTGGTTCTTCGGACTTGTACTGGAAGCTTCCTCTATGCAGTTGACCCACATTGACATGCTGAATGGGTCCCAGAGCTTGAGAGGGTTGCTTTCAGGTTAACTGGAGCGATTGTCACCCACCATTCGCTGTGGTTTTCCGACGGTTTGTCGGGTATCGCAGGCACAATCCCCCCACACAAGCTTTGCAGGGTCTGCCACCCATCTCCCACAAGGCTGACAGTTTCGATTTAACATCCATCATCTCTTATCAGAATCTGGGATAATTTGGGTCACTTGTGCTTCTTTTTTCACCTACACTCTCGCGTCACACTTTCGAATACATAGGAATCAGTTCCCCCATTGTGTTTAGGGTTTGCCAACTGTCATCCTTTGGAGGTTTTCGAGACAGCATCCAGCCCATGAGCCGGAATCAGAACGCTCAATCACGGGTGATGTTGGGTGTCGACCTACATGCGGGTTTCGGAAAATAGGGGACCCTAATATAGGACCCCAAATAGTAGGATCCTTCTTACAAGAACCCCAGAATAAGGTACCCCTAGTTTTCGGAAACTCCCGACACAAACGATCGTCCCACCCCCACGTCCCACACTGAGTCTTGTCACCCAGAGACTCCAATAGGTCCCTTAATTCAGGAATATTCCTTAAATTATAGAGTATCCCTAGTATGATTTAAGGAATATGCATTAATTATAAAGGATATTGGATACTGGGGTCTCTGGGCAGGATATTGTGGGTTGCAATCTTTCACCTCAAAGAGGTAAGGCAAGTACTTAATGTTAAGCAGGGTAGCGGGTTGCAGTTGGCAGATTTGAAGACAGGCCTTTAACACAATATGCTGACATGAGCCCCAGCAGCTGGAGTAACAGTCCACTCAAGCAATCCCTTAATTGCTGAGTTCATAAGCCCGGGAAGGTGTAAATTTTGAGCCCTATGGAGATGTAGTATTCTGCCAAAAAGGGCAAAGTTCACTCACTCAGCTACTAAGTTGCATTTGCTGTTCAGTTCGTCAGTGGAAAATGTGCAAAGACCTGCGGTGCGATGGTGTTGGTGTTGCCCGACACCGCGGCCAAAGTGAGTTGTGTAGCACATCTGCCACTGGAAAGACTCTCAATGGCTCTCAATCGGTTTGCCCAAGTCTAGTGGGACACCCACCACACCGGACCAAAAAACCAAAAGCAGCGAACACGGCCGCACAAAAGCGCATGTTGAGCGACCGACTAGGCTTTACTGGCAGCAGTATAGAAGAAAAACGGCAGGCAGAAGTCATATTATAGGCAAAACTCAAGCTTCTCAGCTAGATTAGCATCGGCCGTAGTCGTAACACTAGGAATAAAATCAATTGGCTCACAACTTTACCCTAAGTCTCAAAGCCTTCGAGAAATGGACGTCTCAGGTGATCTCAGTGCGCTCGACCTCTCCGAAGGACATTCAACCTCCTGCCGATTTGGCGTTCTTATCACTGCTAGAGTTGTAGCCAAACCCAAAACCCATGACGCTACATCCACTTGGGCTGGAGGATGTTTTGCTCAAGATGCCCAAGGCATAAGCATTGGCTGTCTCACTATCAGTTTTCTGCGCCGGTGCAGGGCCCGGCAGCAGTTGTCTACATCAGGGACGAAACGATCCATCTCCCATGGAAGCAGCATGCCTTGGCCGACGGAACAGCTGGGCAGCTGTCGTGCCTTTGCAGCGGGGTGATAATCCCGCAAGCTTTCCGAACGATGCACGGAGTCCTGATCAGAGTTCCGACGGCAGGATGCGGTCCTGGGCTAGCCTACAACGCCGGCCATCTGAGATACTGGGACCCGAGACTCAGAGAGCATGTGATTCTGTTGGCAAGCTGTTCTCTTGGGACGGCAACTTCAGCGTGAGCCTCCTGGATCTAAACCTGATCATCGTCGGATCAGGTCCCGTGTGTGCAGAGCTCTTGCGCCAGAGGCGACTTGCAGGTGGCCGGGCATGTGTGCTTTGGACTGAGAGGATGCCAGTTCTGTCAGACATTGCTGCTTTGAACCGGCACCCCCTGTCTAAGCTTCGTAGCAGTGCCTTCCATCTTCGCAACTTCTGTTGGCAGCCCCCAAGTATGAGTCGCACCGATGTGCCAGAAGTCGAGGAGCTCAGGGCGGCCCACCGATGCTGGCCATCTGCCGTGTGCATGCAGGGGCCCGACATCGTGCCCTTGCAGGCAGACCAGGTCTATGCCATCGCACAGGACCCTGATGGTCGTGCTTCTGGTATTGAAGTCCTCGACGGGACTTCTGGGAATCAGCTCTGGTCTATGTCTGGTGCTGTTGTCTTTGCCGGAGAAGAATTTTCTGGCGTTTTGAGTGCTGCTTGCGACACGATCTATGTTGCCCGTGAGCTGGATCTGAGCGTGCACTTCGAGGATGCAAAGCCCTTGGCAGTGATGAGTACATGGACTTGTGTGCAGACTTGTCTGTACAGCTTCGTCCATTTGACCGTCTACTGCTCGGCCATGCGTGTCTTCGAGCCCCTGAACACCGCGGAGCAGTGGCCATGGTGGCGCGGCACTTTTACCGTCGGGCTTTTCCCGTATGGGTTTGCCACATACTGCATATATTGGGCAAATTGCCTTGCAGGCACACAGCTTCCGAGCGGAATGAAGATCTTGGGCGGTTTGCTCTTGAGCGGCTTCTCTTCTATTTTCGCCATTGCCGCGAGGCCAATATCCGACGAGGACACCGGGTCAATCTACCGGCCCATCTTCATGGTGTTTTTTGCAGGCAACTTGTTTTATGCCGTGGTGTCGCCAGTCATCCATTGGATCTGGTACCGGTTCCTGGCGCACCCTGGGACTTCCTCGAAGGAATACTCTCACAACGAAGTCATCTCTGAAGGGGTGAGGCCAGTTCACAAATGCAATCACGTGTTGTGGACGTGCACCCATATCCTCTTTACATTTGGCAGTTGGATTTTCTTGTACTTTGTTTCCATGGTGTTCATTCAGCTGCAATCTATCTCGCAAGTTGCAGCGGCATTGTTCCTGACTTTTGCCACGAATCTGACCGAAAAAGCTGTGAGCTGCATGACCACGTCGATATACACTGGCCTTGTTTACAATGTTCGCTGCCGTCCGGGTGAGAAGCGACTTTTAGGCGACCAGAGAAGGTACCTCATGGTGCCAGTTGCACTGACGCACGCGTTTTGCGAGAGCGCGCGCCTCATCAGCTTGCTCTCCGTCACCATGCAATATGGTGGATGGTCCTGGTCCTTCAACCTTGCACTCAACCTGGCCGTGAACCTTCTCGAGCGCAGCTACTGCAACCTCAGTTTCCTGACCTATGTGTGCCCTGGCCTGTCCAGGACATTGCTGCCGGGTGTCAGCATGGTTCTACATCAGGAGGCAAAGCTTTTATCAGGCAACGCGCAGTATGTGTCCGTCGTGGCCTTTCTGACGGCAGATTTCATCACGGGCCATTGGGCCACTTCTGCTTTCAACGTTGAGTCCATCTGCCTCATCGTCGCATCAGTGGTTGCGGAGCTCGCAGAGGACTTGGCGATCAGTTTGGGGATCCGGCCGAACAGTTTCTGGCCTGAAGCTCTTCGCGAGGACTATGCTGAACAGCCCATCCTGCATCCGCGGCAGATCCTCTGTATCGACAAGGTCGGGGTGTTCATGCTTTTTCCTCAAGGCAAATACAAAGCCAAGCGTAAGACCGTCAAAGCAGAGTGCAGGTGTACCTGTTATGCATGCCTAGACTGTTGCGAAGGTTGGGGTTACATGGAAGTCGCCGCCGCTGTCTTTGCATGGCGTGGGCAGCCTGACTTCTGGGAGACGGCGGTGTTCATGCTTCCGGCCACCTACTTCTCCTTGGTGCTGATGCCAGCTAGCACACTGGGATCTGTTATTTCTTCCTTGAACTTACCAGTCTCAGAGCAGTGTTTGTTCTCCTTAAATTGTGCAAAACCGACCGAGGATAACCTTGCTTCTGGGCGCCGGCTACATGCATGGAGTTTGCACAGAGCCTCTCCCGGCAGAGATGCGCCTTCTTGATGGGCTCGTCTGGACCAGCCCGCTGCGGTGCACGTGAAGTGAAGCCATGCCGTGGAGCCCTTGCGCGAGTATCGTAAGATTTTAAACGCGCATGACCCCTGATTAGATTGGTCAGCGCAGAGGAGAGCCGGGCTCTTTGCTGAAATTTGTTTCTTCGAAAGCTGCATAGATTCCCACAAATACATTTTTTTTTAGATCTGTTTTTTATGCTCGGCTGCGCTTGAAGGAATTCTCAAGCAGCGCCGTCTGCACATAGCGGTTGTAAAGTGTGTACGGTAACCACACCTCGACTGCTGGGGGTGTTTGCGCTTTCAGCACTCTGGCTTTCCGAGGGGATACAAGGGTTGATCGCTGAAGAAGTCTGTTTCGCACCAGTGGGCGATCCTGTATCTCCTCGTGTGTCGCTTTGGAATCCCGTGGTGGGTTGCCCAGTCTCCCGAATGTTGCGGGGTAAAAAGACTGACGTATCGCTTCCGAAGATGGTCTTCTGCGCCAGTGCGCTTCCCCAAACCCCGAGCCAGAACCGCCAAAGCTCTGGCCACCGAAGGCAGCCTGGGGCATACAGCTGACATGGCTTCTCTGGCTTCGGCCTCACGGAGCCGGGGCAGGACACCTGGGACTGGCAACAAGTGCTTGAGACGCTTTCTTTTTCTGTCTACTGTCTGCCCTTGGAGTCTCTTGCATGCATCCTTGTCCGTCGGCGCATACTCACATACCCCCCCCTTCCCGTCTGTTTCGCTTTGCTTCTCTCTAGGTCTGCAACGACTTACTGTTAGGTTGTCTCTGCCATGACCTGCTTGTGCTCTTGAGCTCAGGAGACCAAGGCTTCGCACCCTGCTGGAGTCGGGGCGGTGGCTTCAGCTTCCAGGAAACCTACTGGTTTCAGGTTTCGCATATTCGCACGCCACATGAGGATCTCATGTTCAGAGGTGAGTCGTCTGAGAGTTGCTGCTTTGCGAGATGTCTCCAGCTTTCAACCTCTTCGGCGCAGCATGGGGACTGCGAGTATCTGCGAATCCGGGTACAAGAAACCGGGGCAAGCTGCAATGACGCGAGTCGGCCTTCGAACGAGGCTTTCAAGAAGTCCATGCCGTTCAGGATCCTGTACACTAGACGACAAGTTAGCGCTTGAGAATGAAGCTGCGAAGTGGCCTTGATGCGAGAGCAGTGGGAATGATGCAACCTTCCCTGCAGGAGTGTTGTGGCAGTGCGGAGCAACCGCCGAATCCGAGCTGCTTCGATGCCGTCTACACGGAGGAGCCAAGCAGCGGCGTGTCCGAGGGAGGGTTCGGGAATTTTCAGCAACGCGGCCTGCAAGGAGCTCTGCTGCATGGAGGCGGACTGGGACATTGAGGCGTGTACCGAGTGCGGATTCTTTCAAGCTTATGATAGCTTATAAATTTGGCCGATGATCCATCCTCGGACAGAGGCTGCAAGGCTCTTTCGCAGATAAAAGCTGTCTTGTCAGCTGTTGCGGAGATTTCGGTGGCAGATGCATTGCAAGTCTGTAGTGCTTTGACGAAGCTCGGTGCCGTGCCTGATGTGCCCTGTGCAGTGCTGGCAGCATGCACGAGTACATCTGTCAGAAGCAAGAAGGGTAGCCGATGGTCAGGCTCTCTGGCAGCATCTATATGTTCACGGGGTCATTTGGGCGGTTCTTTCTCATGCGTGCCTTGACTATCGATGTTAACTGTTCGTCCAAAACTCCTTTCTCTGTGGCCTTTGCTGTTGTGCTTGTTGTCGTTGTGCTTTGGTGGCGGTGGTGTTGCTGCTGCTGTTGTTGTGGCGGTCGTTGTCGTTGTTGTTGTGGTTGATGTTGTTCTTGTTCTTGGTCTTCTTCTTATTGTTGTCGTTGTTGTTGTCTTTGTCGTCGTTGTTGTTGTCATTCTCCCTGTTATGGTTCTTGTTGTTCTTCTTGCTATTACCGTTGTTGTTATTTGTCTTGTTATTCATGGTCTTGTTATTGTTATTGTTCTTGCTGCTGTTCTTGCTGTTGTTGCTCATGGTGTTGCTGCTGTTCTTGCTGTTGTTGCTCATGGTGTTGCTGCTGTTGTTGCTGCTGCTACCATTGCTGTTGTTGTTGTTGTTGTTGTTGTTGTTGTTGTTGTTGTTGTTGTTGTTGTTGTTGTTGTTGTTGTTGTTGTTGTTGTTGTTGTTGTTGTTGTTGTTGTTGTTGTTGTTGTTGTTGTTGTTGTTGTTTGTTGTTTGTTGTTTGTTGGTTGTTGTTGTTGTTGTTGTTGTTGTTGTTGTTGTTGTTGTTTTGTTGTTGTTGTTGTTGTTGTTGTTGTTGTTGTTGTTGTTGTTGTTGTTGTTGTTGTTGTTGTTGTTGTTGTTGTTGTTGTTGTTGTTGTTGTTGGTGTTGGTGGTGTTGGTGTTGTTGTTGTTGGTGTTGTTGGTGTTGGTGTTGGTGTTGGTGTTGGTGTTGGTGTTGGTGTTGGTGTTGTTGTTGGTGTTGTTGTTGTTGTCGTTGTCGTCGTTGTCGTCGTTGCTGTAGCTGCTTCAGATGCTGGCCTACTTTTGCAACGGCTACCACTGTCACAAGAACAGCAGCAGCACCAACCACGGCAACAGCAACAACACTCCTACTCCTCCTCCTCCTCCTCCTCCTCCAGCTGCTGCTGCTGCTCTACTACTACTACTACTACTACTACTACTGCTGTGGCTCCTACTGTTCCGGTTCTCATGATTTCGGCTGCCACCACTGCCGGTGCTTCTCGTGGTGGTCTGCTACTGCTTCTGCAGCTGTGACGAGCACGTGTGCATATTGCTACCTGACTCCCAATTCTGGTTGTGATTGTAGCAGCAGTCTGCAGCAACGAAGTTATTCCTACCAAATACCGTGCGCTCGCACACTGACGAAGAGAGTCTATACATAAATGCTTACAATCATAAACACGCAATGTACTTGTCTCTACATTACATACTATGCATTCTAAATTGTCTCTACATTGCATACTATGCATCTAAGTGCATACGTCGCATATTGATAAGAGTCACAACTTGACCGGAGGGTATGGGGAACATAAATAAACACCGTGATGCAAACAGTTTTGCTGGTATCAGCTCGGAACGCTGCTCGTGGAAGCAACCTCTGCTCACTCCTGTTGGAGGTATAGGAGTGTCCCTGCGGAGTTTTCTCGATTCCAAGACGCTCAACGGGCTCGAATGGTAACCGGTGACAACGGCGAACTATGACTTCGGTTGGCATTGCATTTGACTACTGTCGTAGTCGTACAGGTATGCCATGGAGTGGCCATTCAGTGCATCTCATGCCACAGTATAATCTTGAAAGCTTGGTGGATTTGGCGTAATTTTGCCAAAATGCCATCAGGCCACAGCCGGCACGGCCAGCTGGGCTATGCAGGCCCTAGCATCGTAGCCTCGGGTTGCCTTCAGGTCTGAGCTCCGCCAAGATCTCACTTGAGCTCCTTAATACATCGGCCAGTGAGAGCCGAGAGCCTTGCCTCTGCAGATGGAAGCCTTGCAGCGTTACATGGTGGATGACATGCCAGGGCCTAAGAGGCGAGTTTAGGGTCTTAAGAGAGGTGTGGAATGCCCGGATGTGATGCCCAAGGCTTCTCTACCTGTTCTGCTGCAATGGCTTTCACAACGAGTACTGCTGGGGACCTGCGGTTCCGCAGGCAAGTTGGACTGCCGAGAACTGCTGCACGCAGAAGACTCTGAGAGTGTCGATAAGCTCTTAGCTGCTAGTGCTTCAATGGTCAACAGTGCGGAGTGCAGCACAAATGCGATATCTGCTGATATCGAATCGGAGTCGCTCATTTGACATCACTTGGCCGGTTGCCGGAGGCCTTTGGATGTGAAGCCAGCGTTTGTGTCTGAACGCATGCAAGGCGCTGTTGCCCGACCCCGACGCATGGGAAGGTGTCGGAGTCTTACTGAGCCGCAGCAGGATTCAAGGCACAGGATATTTGACCAGTTTCGGACAGTCTGTTGGCTCAACATCAGCGTTGCTTCAGAGCCGTCAATGGTTAAGGTCAAGGTACTTGCGATGCCTAGGCTGAAATGCGAGGGCACGACCATGTCTAGCTGAATTCTGAAGTGTTGTGTCTCAGGTCTCCGACATCGTCGCATGGCAGATGCCTGAGAGACCATCATCACTCATCAAATCCAAGGAGTTGGAGCAGTCCCGAATGTGGTGATGCTATGAAGTTTAGAGCTGCATCGAGATCCTCTGCTTTGAGACACTCCTCCAAGGTATCCACGCTGCTGCTTTCCGAGACTGCGGGGAATGCTGAAAGCCGGGCACGGGTGCAGACAGTAGCAACTGGTAGCGGATCAGTTGGTAGTGCAGCCGCTCGTGAGTGCATGTGTGCAAGGTGCTCATACCTCTCTGGTCATATACGACACGTGTGCATTTCAAACTGTGGACTGGCACCATAGAGTTGGATGATGACCCCAAACCGTCAACCCCTAGGCGCTAAACCTCAAAGCCAAGTTGTGAATTTCGTAGGCCCCGATCCCTCCTTGGATGCGGAAGCAGATCAGCAGGCTCGGCAAGGACTCTGCAATTCTTATAGGGGGGGATGAATGATTTCCTTTCACATCCTGCAGGTGCTTGCCTTTGTGACATACAAAGAAGCCATCTGCTTTAGTCGTTGCTGACCCCGATGATGCGCTACAAATGAGAGACTAGGGCATTGTGCTGCCTAATTCTGCTGCGGAAGGGCCGCTTGTTCCCGACTTGCCGTTGCATCATTCCCACGCCTGCTTTCGCCACTCGCCACAGCCGCAGCACCAACGGCAGCAGCACGCAACGGCACCAGCATCAACAATCGCCATCCTCATCCCCATCAAAAATCATGCTTTATCCTGATGAGTGCCATCATCATGACCTGTGCCATCGCCGAAGCCGGCAGCACCGGCTTGATCATCAATGCCATCATAATCCATAAGCGACTGCATTTCGTCGTAGAACGCCTCTGAAGGGACCTGCGCCACATGTCGATGCCGGGACGACCGGGTCTTCCTTGGCCGCTTGGGCCTCGGGGCTTACAGGGACCCAGGGAGTTGACTGGACCCTTTGCGCGAGGTCGAAAATCGCCGGATGCCCAGAATCCGCTGGCGTATAATGATGGCTGAGCCACTGTTTCCCGGCGCTCCAAGGATGTGCAGCACTTCGCTGGCTCCATCCGGCAGGATTTCGTGGTTGTGAAATTTCCCTGTCTTGAAGTGCCGTGTTGACATGTCCTCATGCGAGCGTAGTTTTCGTGCTAGTTCTGAACGCACCCTATTCGACAGACGTCTTGGGCTCAGACCAAAAAGTGCGCTCGTTTGTGTGGTTGGACACTCACTAATCCAGTTCCTGCTTCAAACTGGTAGCGGAGCTGTGAGGACAACCACTAGTGTTTCACCCCCGTAGAGCCTGTGGTCCGGGGTCCGTTGGGTAGAGTAGTGATAGTCGCGGCGCAAAGGCCCCTTCTATCTGAAGCCATGAGCGTGGCAGGTTTGCGTTACCAGCCCAATCTCTGGTCACAGAACCTGAGCCCTGCAGAAACCAAAAGCGGGTCGTACATATACGACGGTACGGCTGCTGGCTTCCACGATTGGTGCTTCCGGACACAGATCCGCGTGCTGCAACATAAGGAGAAGCAGCGGCGCGAAGCTCTTAAGGACCTGCGTTTTGCCGAGTCGGCAAGGGCCAAGAGCGAGTCACCAAGGAAGTGGCGTGGCAGGGCAAGTCAGGGGACCAGTGCATCGCCCACAGATGGTGATGGAAGCAGCGGTATACCCGCCAGTCCGTCCAGCGCAAAACGGACTAAGCCCGCGTCCGAGGCAGAAGATGAGGATGCGGAGTCATTGCCGTCGCACCCCAGCCAAGTGGCGGGCGACGATGAGCAAGAGCCGGACACAGATCCGGCGGTGTACACTTTGCAAGACATTAAGGACGAGTCGCTTGATATGAGCGAATGCGTTAGCAAGATCTTGGAGGGTCTCCGAGGAGACGCCTTTTGCATCGCTCGCGACGTCGGCCTGGAACGTCTGCTTCGCCATGATGGCGTCGACTACCTGATAGAAGAAATCAGGAGGCAAGCTTTCCCTCTTCAATCCGAAGAGGCGTCCGAACTTTTCCGTCAGGGACAGCTCCTGACGGGCCCACTTGCAAAGCAACCCGGCGAGCCTATGTTGTCTTACATAGCCCGCCGAAAGCGGTGGTGGTCGACCTTGCGTGAGCTGGATCCTGATATCCGCCTTTCTGAAGCAATGAGGGCTAATCTCCTTGTTGAGCTTTCAGGGTTGGAAAGGAACGAACAGCTAATGGTCAAGACCGCCGCCCGCGTACACACCGTGGATGAGTACGCACGCGTCCTTGTTCAGCATCACTCAGTGGTGCACATGAAGGAACGTCTTCTTACCCAGAAGGACCCTAGTGGCCCAGGTAAGACCTGGAGACGTTTCGACGCTAAGCCACAATACCCTAAGTTTGGCTATATGGGGTATGATGGTAGTGCCGCAGAGTATGGTCACCAGGAACAACAGGAATCCGCGGAAGGCTACGGTGACGGCTACGGCGAAGAAGCATACCAGGCCACAGCGTCTGGGGGAGATGATGCGGATGAATGGATTGATGATGAAGATCTAGCATTGCAACTCAACGCCTATACGGCAGTGGCATATGAAGCTGAGATTGACGATTTGGATGATTCCTATGCCGAGTCAGTTCAGCTTGCGTACGCGGCACAGACCGCCTTTGCCCAGGCGAAAGGAAAAGGAAAGGGGAAGAACAAGGGCAAGTCCCCCGGAAAATCCGGAGGGAAGGTCGTGCGTAGCAATTTGACCATTGCTGACCGTAAGGCCAAGTTAGCAGAGCTTAAGGCAAAGAGTAGGTGCCTGAAGTGCGGTGTGATCGGCCATTGGGCCGGAGATGCTGCCTGCAAGTTTAGCGGTAAGGGCAATGGCCCCAAGGGCACCACAACCCCAGCACAGTCTGGGGGAACTGCCAACGCAGCCGCAAAGTCGGCGACGCCGAAGCCTCAGGCGTATTTCGCCGCAGTGGAGGAGGATGACACAGAGTGTGTCCATCTGTCGAATGCGAGCGCTGGTAGGCTCGAGGGTTACCCAGCCAACCTTGAGCTGACTCCCTCAAAGACCAATACCGGCAAAGGCCGCGGCAATGAAACCCTCTTCTCACCACAGCTTCGGCGCACAGCCGCCGCTAGGATCATGCGTGACAGCCCGCCTGAGGGTTCCGATCGCGTTTTCTCCTTTGGTCAGCATAAGGGTCTGACTTATGAGCGTGTCTTGTATACGTTTCCTGGGTATGTTCTTTGGGGACGCACGCAGAAGTGCCCATCCATAAATTTGGCCGATTTCTTGGATTGGGTCACGGAGTACTTTGATGTGCGTGATGATAACCCCATTAGCATCACGAGAAGGGATGTCCCTCTCAGCCAGGAACCCCCGCCTGAACCCTTTCAGCCCGAGGTTCGCCTCGCCGCGTCAGCTGCTTCGTCCAGCGAAGGCCCCCGGAAATGCCGGGGAGGTTGCAAGGAGTTCAACAAGTCGGGGAGTAACGCATACATAGACATGCGGACCTGTAAGAAATGCGGCACCGTCACCAAGACGAAGAAAGAGAAGCCTGTCATAGATCAGGCCACATGCCCCCACACCTCCACCGAGAGGTCGGGTAGCAGTAGGAAGACCTCCCGCATTAAGTGCAAGCTTTGTGGGATGCTTCTAGATGAGCAGCCGCAGACCGAGCGAAAGGCTAGGGATGACGCAGCCACAGTGCTGCGGGAGTCCAACACCCTGGACTTCGATCTTCTGCGCAGCATAGTCGGCAGCACGGGGGATAGCCTCCCCGTAGAGGTAGTAGTTCCGGCTATTGCCCAGTTTCAAGAGACCATAGAGGGTCACTTCGTAACCGAGCCCGTGATATCCCGCGGTGACCTTCTCGCATACCTGCAAGAGGCCTTAGACGATCACTCTGCGCCATCGACCAACAACAGTTGGGAAGTGGCGTCGGCGAGATCGCGCTCCTCGAGGGCCTCCGCGACGAGGCACGCCTTCGTGGCTTTCACTGAGGGGGTCACAGATATCCATCCGGCTTTGGTTGATTTGCCCGTAGTAAATATCTACGAGGATAAGCACGTATACGCCGTGTTGGATGAGGGCTGTAACTCGACTGTTCACGGTAGCGATTGGATAGCAAACGCGGCGGGGAAACTTGCGAACTTCGGTTACAGCACGAGGTTTAAACCTGAGGGCAATCGTACCTTCAAGGGTCTTAGCGGTGCTACCGAAACCCTGGGTAGCAGGACCATACCTTTCTCTATAATGGGATTGGAGCAGGACTTGAGAGTTCCGGGCGTCCTTGATTCACATGAGATTAAGGGTACAGCCCCTCTCCTTTTGTCCCTTTACGCCCAGGCCCAACTTGGTATAACCAAGGATCTTCGGTTTGGTGAGTGTGGTGTTCGACTTCCTTCTGAGGATAGCATCATTAGGATCAAGCTGTGTCGGACACATGACTCAGGGCTGTTATGCATAAACATAACAGAAGGTTTGACCCAGGTGAAACAACCCCGTCTCATAAAGAGCTTCCAAATCCCCTCGCCGCCAGTTCCTATATTTAGGTCTGCCGCCGCCGCCGCCTTAGCTCACTCAGAGTCTGTGAGCTCACCTCGAGATGCAACAGCGGCAGATGACGCAGTGGCAACAAGTCGCAGTCACAGTACTGTAGATGCAGGCCATGGTCATAGCACTGTAGGCGTAGGCCACGGTCACAGCTTCACAACGACAGCTGAGAATCGCAACAACACTAAGCGACGCATAAGCGTAGCGTTCCCGAACCATTGCATGGTAGGCACGTCCGTAGGAGACACGGAGCCCGCCGCGATGGCCGCAGCAGAGGGGCAGTTGCCTAAGAAGGCGCCCCCAACGGCAAAGGCTGCACCGAAGATTCCAGCAGCGCCGGACCCTGGCCACAGTGCCATGGCGAAGTCCCCTGCGGTCGGCCACAGTGCCGCACCGGCAATCACTCCTGCTTTCGCCGCGCCTGCGCCTAAGGCGCCGCCTGGAAGTGGCTTGCCAAAGAAAGCGCCTCCCATAGAGAAGGCTAGGCCTGGGGATAGCCCAGGGATACCGCCAGCAGCCCGTGCCACAGTGCATCCGAAGGAGATTGCACGAGGGCACCGTGAGCTGGCCGAGTTCGATGCGGTTGTGAAGAAGGATCCGCATAACAGGCCCCTGGTTATAATGGCAGGTGGAGGACCCCATGGTCCGGAGCTCGACACTCCTCTTCCAGCAACCGTGTATAATCCGGATTTGGCCTTGCTACCGTACTATGCGGGGGACACAGCGAACCCGGACATCATTATTGATGTTTTTACCTGGGGCTATGAGCACCATGCCTGGCTGCAACGCGTCAGAGGGAAGTGGACGGCAGCCGAGCTCTTCGCACAGCACGAAGAGATGGAAACGCATGCGATCACGACGTATGCATCTGCCACTAGCTATATGCTAGTGATGTTGGACATGGTGTGGCTAAAGGACGATCGGAAAGACGATCTGACGCCTGCAGAAGCCCAACAGCGCAACGACGAACAGCGCGACCGCACAAAGCATGTTGGGTCAAACCCCGATATAATTCGGGAGCACGCAGACCATCCCAACTTGATCGCCCACGTCAGGCACATCGTGGCGAACGTCCTTGACGCTAAGGACGCTGGGATTCGGTCCATTGCCGTGCATGTCGTTTGCAAAGCCAACAGACATAGATCTGTTGCGGCGGGTATCCTTACCCATGCGACGTTTTTGGAGCTCGTGCCAGATTGCTCCGTCAGCCTCACTCACATGAGTGCAGCGAACAGTTGGCCGTTCATGGGCAGCAAAGCGTGCAAGGGACAGTGTCCCAAGTGTTTGCACCGCGCCCCTGGCATAGTCCAGGAGGTCGAGGAGCTTACGAGGTCCTTCGTCGACGCTGTCCGCACAGACGGACCAGAGGATAATGAGTGCATCCTTGTCGTGGAGCCGCAGTGTGCACGCCCCGATGATCAGCCTACATATGCTGAGCGGTTTCATGCACAGCTGCTTGCAGAGGGCCGCATACAGGCACCGGTGACGGGGGTAGGCCCCCTTGATAGGCCTCCCCTGGCAGGCGAAACCGCGTATCAGGCTGCAACCCGCATGGGGCTGGT